TGTGTTGTTGACTCATAAAGGGATAATAGAGACTGACCCAAAGACATGCTGGTATTCCGTATCCGTGAGAATGTCTCTTCAATTATTCCTCTTTTCTGGAGTCGCAGGACCACATTTGCTTGCTCCTGTCTGATTGCCTCCATGTGTGGAATTAATGATAAGGCATGATTGTCAAACAGGCGGTGGAATGTAGGTGGAGTGTCGAAAAGAAAAGGCTTCACTCTATCGTTGATAACAGCATTGGGCAGTAGAAGCTTCTGTGTTGAATTAGAATCCTTTGGTGATAAGTAAGGGCAGGGAACAGTGGCAGATGTTTGTATCAAATCCTGTGTTCCCGGTATTTGGAACCAGAGATCCTCGTCAATCCTGACAGGTGTCAATATGTAACATGTTCCACTAACCGTGTGATTGTTATAGACGAAAGTTGGTGTAACCTGGCGACATTTCGTAATTAATAAGTTGTCCGCAGTCCGTACGGCCGTGATGTCAGTTCTTCCCAACAGAATCCTGGCGGCCCATGTAGGGTCTACCAAGCTTAGGGTGCGTATCCGTTGTGCTCCGAGGTATTGTCGGACACAGATATTGTTAAACTGACGTCGCACCGCAAAATTTTGAGGAGGAATATTTTCCGTATCAGGTGGTTGTGTAGGCACAGAAAATATTGAAGATGTTGTAGAGAAGTTTGCAGCTTCTACTGTTGTTGAAGCATTTTCCTCTTCCTTAGCCGTTGTTGGTATGATCGTCGTTGAGGCAGGTATAATTGATGTCAATACCGAATCCACTACTGATACCGTTGATAGTATAGAATCCACTACTGGTACCGTCCAATCCATAGAGACAAATCTCGTTGTTCGCGTCAAGATCTCCTCCCATGATGGGGTAGAGGCTGATGTTTCGGCCTCTATTACAGGTTGTAGGGTAGGTAGTGGGGTATGGTAATACAAATGGTAGACTTCTGGCGTCGTGGATGGAGAAATGGAAGAGGTAGTACTCGTTGGTATCGTCGACATTCTTTCCGGAGTACTTGATGGTTGGGTATGGTATTTCATCAGAAGTGTTGTCTCCGGCGATTGATGTGATGATACTACTTTACTGGTTTTGGTTGTGGTGGTAGAAAGGAAGGTCCCTTTTGTAGAGGGTGTTTTGATTGGACTAACAGACGTAGATGGTAAAGTTGTCGTCGTCGTCATAGTATTTCGAACAGATGATATCCTTGTTGTCAGTTTGGATGTCCTCCTAGGAGTTCCGGACGTCATCGTTGTTCGTATTGTTGTCGTCATAGAGGTTGTTGTTCTTGGTGAAGTCGTCGTTGTCCCTAGAGTTGTTATTTGTGGGGCTGATGTTGTTTGTACTGCTGATGGAGTTCGTAACGTTGTGGTCAGGGGATCTGTTCGGGGTGGTAATGTCGTCGTGGTCGGACTGCCTAGCGTGGTTGGTGGAGTTATCGGGGCCGGAGGAGTTGTTGCCAGCGCTGCCAAGGTGACGTTGAAATAGGGGATTTTAGACTTCCATTCTGGGTCTAACGATCCTGGCATGTTGTATTCGATTCTTCCAAACTCCTTCTCAAGATAATCGTCGAATATCGGAGAAATACTCAGTTCCAGGTCTCGTCGGATGTTGGTCACGGCATAATTTGGAGGTGTTACCTTCGCAGATTCCGCAAATAGATTTAATTGCTTCATGCGATATTCGCCGTACCGTATCGTACGCAGAACAATGTGCCTTGGGTCATCCATTTTATAGTACCGGGTCGCCCGAGTGAGATCGTTATTAGTAATATTCCATCGTTTTAACTCGTAAAGGATCTTGTGCCATGTTATCGGGCGCGTGTTGAAAACTGGAATTCTTCTAAGATGTCTAACGCCGAACAACCGCTTGGTCAGAAATACAGGTTCCATCGGCACAATTTCAAACGGAAAGGTGTTACCATTTTTATCCGTGAGATGTCGTATAGCACGCTTTGTTCTTCTTTCTTGATGGGCCATGCGCAATACATAATCTTGGATGGTAAGATCTTGTGGGACTTGGGGAAAAGTGATGATATGGTTTGATGTCGTAAGGTAACTGGTGTCCAACTGACAATATCTGGTGAGTTGTTCGTGCAGAAGGTAATCCTCAGAAAATTGGAAGACGAGGTCGGGGTGGGGAAGGACTATGTAGTTTAGGGTAACGAATGCTTCGAAAGTTCCAACATGTTTGAATCTGCAGGAAGGTGTAACTTCAGTTGGTTTCCATATGATCGTGTATTCCTGTGTAAGACAGTATCCTTGACTGTACGAGCAGTTCTCGGTGTCACCCAATGGACTCATGATGTGCTGTCCGTCGAAAGTGGCGACTTGTCCTTCCTCTACAGTGTATACACTGCGAAGATAGTTCCTGGTCCCCCATAGTGGTATCGCAATGTCATCTTCCTCTATTTCATTGGTGGTCCATAATCCATCCGACTGCAGAATCAGTTCATGATCATGTATTTTTCTTGATGTCCCGGCCGTTGCGCATAGTTCTTGAGGGATCGACAACTGGCGACGTCGCAATATGGTGGTGGTGGTACGAATACGGAGAAAACTGCTTATAGATACCTCAATGGCATCTCTGTAGCACTTAGTTGCATTACTCCAGAACGGATTGGAAATATCTGCAAACAGTTGCATCGTAGTTCGTAACATGGGTGCGTTCGTCGGAGTTGTACAATCGAATGATTCCGGAAGTGAAAAGATGTTCGAATATGGGTTTGTGCCGCATATCTGGTATTTCGCAATTGTGAATCCACTGCACAGTATCAGAGTCATGATACACAGTAAGTGAATCCCTGGGGAGTTGATCCTTCCTCTCGCGAAGGTGCTGGGAGGTACGGGAGCTGGAGCATCACTTATCGGAAGGGGTCTATATTGTGCATATAATGGTGCTCCATAACCATAGGGTCTTCTTCCTTGTACTGGTGGGAATCTATTATTGTACATTCTGCGATTGAAGAGGGGTGGCGCACGTTGTCGGAAAGGTGGGTAACTAGGATAATATCCTCGTGGACTAAAGAAAGGATTTTGGGTGAGTCGCATTGTCCTCTGCATCTGCCTGAACTTATTTCTATCCTGATCACTGGTGGGTATCTGTCGTGGTGTTGCTTTCATCTGACTCAACTGCTGCTCAAGCCGATTAATTTTCTCATCCATAAGAAGAGCATTGACGGCTTGAAGAGCGTCTCTGTCTTCTTTCCTTTCCTGTTCCAAGATGCGAGATTCCTTTTCTGCACTGCATACTATCTCATCGAATTCGTCCGTGTCAGGTAATCTTCTAACCGCTTTCTTAATCTCGGGATTGAGGCCCTTGATAAAGAAATCAATGGCCATCTGCTTGATGAGTGGTTGTCCTTGTCCCTGGAAAGCGATCTTCGTTTTGTTGTAAATTTTCTTGGCGAATTCTCCCACGGTATCCTTTCCTTGCGTCATGTTATGTAACTCATCTCGGATGTTGCTGAGAAGAGAGGTATTCTTCATTCGCTTGGCTAACTCCGTTGTCAAATCCTTCCAAGGTATCTTCTCTCGATTTGGGATCTGTTGGTACTTCAGTTTTGCTCCACCTGTCAGGTAGAGTGGTAGTAGTTTCTGCGAAATCAAGTTTGGGATAGCGAGCTCATGCGTCACTTCCGAGTATTCATCCAAAAATTCCTCAAGAGTCTTTTCCCCGGAGCCTGAGAACTTGTCCAATCTGTTTCCCAGTATCTTGCAGGCCTTGTATAACTGTTCTTGAAGCTCCTTGTCCGAGATAAAAGGTGTTGCGCTTCTTTCTTGTGACGTAGTTGGTTTACTTTCTTCTTCTTCCTCTGGCATGCTTGATCTTCTTCCTTTTGACATAGTCGGCTTCCTTCGGTTCGCTTCAAAAATTGCTTCTCTTCGTTGCTCCCTGCGTTGGTGTCGCAATAATCGCGCTGTGGTTGATGACGACGTATTGGACGCTGTTGGTTCTGTAAATAGAGATTGGCGGGAAAACAAGGTGAAAAAAATAAAATGCTAAAATGAGGTTATTTTATTCTAATCCAAAAAGAGCTTCAAATATAGTGGCAAAAAGATGTGGTTGTAGTTTTATTCTCTGCTTTATAGATGATGCCAAATAGAGCTAATGGGGTGCCCGAGGCACAGGACGATCGGGATGAGAGGGAGGCATTGGGAGTTCCAGATAATGAAGGTAGTAAAGAAATGCTTATAAAACAAAATAATCAGGATAATGAATGAATATTTAAAGCGGCGCCCAATGAACAAGATGAAAATAGGATATTTGGGGAGGCGGATGAAGCAGGGAATGACGAAAATGGAGGGCTCGGCGTACGAGATCTTGGACTGCCGAATGGCTACCATCGTGAAGGCGATGAGAACGAAGTGCCGGAAGATCCGGATAATGAGCGAGAAGGTTCACCAGCGAGCGACATATGGAACGTAGATGGTCATGATTCGCCGGAAGGTCCGTATGATCCGGTCCTAGGGTTAGGCGCCCGTCGCCTAACCCGTAGGGAGGACATGATACTCTATCTTCGCTTGCATGCGCTCGAGCGGGCGCTACAAGTGGAGGATGAAGGCGAATTTGATGAAGATGAAGAAGTGGCACCTCTACTGGGGCCGGACGCTGGATTTCCCAGTATCTACCCTCGACTAGAGTGTGTAGTGTGTGGCGTAAACGGCCACAGGACCTGCGAGTGTAGGGTCCACTTGGAGTTCGTCGATCGCGTACGGGTCGTACATGCGTATCGCCTGTGTGGGCGATGCGCCGAATTCCACGAAGGAAGTATGTGTATGAACCATCTTCGCTGTGGGCGCTGTGGGCGGGAGAACAGCCACCCAACGTTCCTGTGCCCGAGGCCGTTCCCGAACGAGTGATCTCATTTGATTGTTATTTCGTTACTTTATTTTGTTATTTACACAGTAAATTAATAATTCATGATGTTGCTACAGATTGAAGGTGTACAATACTACGGTGTATGTGAAGGTGGTAATACGGTACCGGACAGGTTAGTAAGATTTCGCAGATGGGCGTGGTTCCCAACCGTCGGAATCCTTATGCTGCTCCTTGGGATCCTCACGTAGATGGTTAAACGGGTGAAGGATGGCTTTGGGGAGTTGGCCAAAGATCAACCAGACTTGCTCAATATGGAGAACGAGTGGGGTGGAAGAGTTAGGTGAAAAATCAAGCAGAGGAACATTCGGAGCATTCAATGAGTAACCATGTCTAAAATGAAGATGTTTTTGCAGATTGTGAAAAGAACTTCTGGGACATGTGTTACATGGAAAACGATATTCTTTTGCTGATTTTGGACAATTGTGAAGGAAGAGTAGTTCGGAATGAACTGTCCGCAGCTGCCATTGAAGGCTGCCAAGGATAGAGCGAATAGACGATTACAGTGGCGTGTGATGTTTCGTGTTCTTATATACTTCAATGGGCAGTTGCATTCTTCCTCCAAAAGCGTAGCTAGACGATAGGCGGAAATAAACGGGCGAAGAACATGCATTCCCGGAGGTGGTACGGCCATGACTTTCTCTTGCTCCTTTTTCCATTCTTCAGATGGGTTTTCAGGAATTATCGGAGTTTCGTCTCTTATAGTACTTAGAATATCGCGCAGGTGTTCAAAGCGTTCATCAACGATGCTCATGCTTCTGAAATTTCAAATTTAGTTGTTAACGCTATATAGTTCGAAGCCGGAACCTCCATGTAAGGCTCGGCATAGTTCCGCAGAGCAGCTAATGCTAGGACGGATGAAAATACTGCGTGTGAGAAATATTTGATATTCGCCGGCCTTAACCAAACCAATTCCCAACAACTATTTATTAGCAAGGAGATGACCATGTAATGGGACGAAACAGGTGACCTTTCAAACTAAGACAACTAAACTACAAAAGATCGCAGTGAGCCGTCGGCCAGCGGCGGTGAATCATGATGGCCGATATGAGTAAATAAAGGTGTGGTCGCTACTTGCAGGTTACAAAACAAGAGTAAGAGAGTTCGAAAAGGAAGTTGAGAAACTACATCGAACAAGAATGAGAAAAGGTACGAATGCACACCGAAGGCTTCCTACGGTCTCTTATATATGTGTTCTGCTAATGGATACAGACATACATAGTCACATAAAACATATAATAAAAATAGTGTTCAGGTTAACACTGCCTAATGGAAAATACACAAACTTCCTAACGGGTCCATTATCCTTCGATAGTTTCCATGAATTTCTTTCTCTTGTTCTGCTAATTCGTTTTCGTCATGTTCGATCGCTTCGCTGTTGCAATGTTTGCTTACTCACTCGTTGTGTAAACATAGAGTCCGCTGTTCGCACATACGCGGAATATTCGACAAGGCACGTTACACGCTGACGAATAAACATCTGATCAGCCAAATCGATCCTACGCGCGGCCAAAACCGCGATGCATTAGGGTGTCTGAGGTTCTGTGCTCGCTACAGTGAAGTGAAAGGATTTGAGAAAAGCAAAAAATGAGAAACGTGAAGAGATGCGAATGGGCATTATTTGGCGTGCAGTTTACGACTGGTGCAGAGGCGCGTCAAAATTGCAGAATCTGTACGAGTTTACACGCGGGCGCCGCCCAACCTGGCGGTTTCCCCCACCCCCAAGCAGGCCGTCATCTGCAGTATCCCTACAGTGGTTTTGAGAAGCAGCTAAGAAGCACGGAAGTAATTCCTAGGAATAAAGCATAACAGAATTTCTGAAACCACAGTCATTGCATGACCCACCATGTGGGTCAAATTGTCGTTGAGTTAAAGTTAAGCTGACAAAATGTTCTCTATCTAGGTGTTAAAAGGATCAAAGTATCTAATAACAAGCTCGCACTTGTGCTCCCGTTTTGTAAACTTTCATTAGTCACAACTAATAAGGGAGGTATCTGGGTTGCTTGACCTTTTGGAATGAGACATCATATCGTATTAAATTATTATACTGTATTATTGTACTACTTTACTCTACTATTGCTGTACTAATGTACTTATTCAAATCAAAAATATGCTATTCTTAAGCTCTTCCACCTGGTTTCCGGATATGGCATTGCTAGGACTATAGACAGGATACATTACTTGCCATACAAAGATAGAGCACACATCAAGAAGAACCTTACTTACCTAGAAAGTGTTTTTCCTCTTCTGAACAGAACCTACGTTCTTGCGAAGGTACGTTGTCCTTAACATTTTGAATGAATAATCACGTGCCCGTCTCACTAGAATACAAAATATAGAGAATGGGGATAAATTGAAGTAATTATTACAAAACCAGCATTTTCAGAAGGGAGTCAAGCAAAGAGAAGTTAAATTTGTGGAAGAGAATGACTCTTACGCTGATCCATCAAGGTTTGTTTCTCTAGCATGGATGCTCTAATTCTAAGCTGGCAGGATTAATCTTAAGGCTGAAAAATTTGACCGATCAGTATTTGTTGCTGGACTTTTTTTTTGCCCAGAATGTCAGGTATTTTGAGGACTATGTTGCTGAGCTGCGTGCTATTCTGCAATTCTCAGACGAGATGAAATCAAATGGAAGCATCATAACACGCTCTTTGCAAAGGTAGAAAAAAAACTATTTGAATTTTGCGTCTTTGGATAAATTACCTATTCAGTCATTCTGACTCGATGTGCATACACGTCCGAACGACGGACTTCATTAGACTTCATTGGGAGACTGACGTGAACAAAACTGTCAAAGCTGTCAATGCACTGGCCAAGAAGATGGTAATAATCAAACGGCGGAATGGTCGCTATTCATTTTTTTAGAATATGTCAAACTTTTTACTTTTTGGAGATGATCAGCAAGTCATGATCAATATGTCACAAGTTATTATAAAAGATGGTGGATGGAAAAACGATGTGAGTCAATTGACCATTCTGTGGCAATTGTTGGTATGAACGGCATACGCTTTTCAGGCTGTGATTGTTTCAAATTATCAAGAGGCTATGGACATGTATTTGTCATCCCAGATGTGTCGATCTTTTTTGATCTCTACAACCTTGTCAACATTTGGCTGGTGGCTTGCTTTTTTTGCAAAAGATCAAAGTGCGGTCTATTACTTAAACGTTACCCGGCCGATAGCGTACAAGCGTCGAAGTGATTATTTCATGTAAGTTCAAGCTAATTCGCTCATGATTTGAACGTGAACGTTGCTGACAAGCGTCATACAAAGTTTTATAGTGACAGCTTAGTTTCTTTATAATTTCCTCGATAATGCAATAGAACTGCAAGTCAACCTATAATGGTCTTTGTTGTGTCCTCCGCGTCGGACACGTCGACTCTTCGTTCTGAGGTAGCACACGAGGAACAAAGAATATTTATTAGAAAATAATAGTACAGTTAAAGATAAGGGAGGCAGATGAGTGAACAAACGAACTGACAATGGCTAACAGCGAGCGCCTTTTATAGCGCTCATTTCCCGCGCATTGAGGTCGCAGGCGCCTCAGCGAGGGCAGATCATACGAGAAAATAACTGATCAGACACTAACACAACACCTCCCCCAGTAGGGTAGTTACACACAAAACTAGCCTACGATAAAAGCATGAACTACAAATATGAACAGCTAAGAAATCGGTCATACATAGAAATTTAAACAACTGCAAAACTAATGAAACAAACGTACAATAAAATACTATGCACTAGGTTGGAACCGTTGTACAGGTCTCCTCGTTCTGCTCGATCTCCGAAGCGTTGTCAGTGGCGTGGAGGGCTCGTGGCTTGATGTCGACGTCGATGTCGTCGAATCCACGGATGCTGGCACATCGCTCGCGATCGCTTGCTCAGAATTCTCGTCAGCTGCACTGCTATTCCTCCGTAGAGTGTCGTCCTCTGTCAAAACATCCAGGAGTATCTTCAAGGCTTCGGATTGTTGATGAAGTTGTTGTCGCACGGCGAGCTGTTCGCTATCGCTTTGATGCCGTAGCTGATTTGCATGCTTCTTGCACATCTCGTCGCCAACCATAACTTCATAATTGACACGTCCAATACGTCTCATCACGGTTCCTTTCATCCAGTGGAAGTGGGGTGGCTTCCACTGTTTAGCGTAAACCAAGTCACCAACTTCGAATTCCTTTCGAGCGACTCCATGCTTCTGGTCGAACTGATCCTTCATGCGCTCCCGTCTCCTTCGTGCGAGCGGGTCTTCTGCATCTTCTGTCATCGGGAGTAACAGACTTAATTTTGTGCGCAAGTTTCTGCCTAGAAACAACTCTGCTGGCGTCTTGTCGTTCAAGTTCGTGTTTGGTGTTGTCCTGTATGCTTGTAACACCACATTAAGAGTCTCTTCTGTTGGCCTCTCCTCCCCCTCTAGTTTCTTGATTCCGCGTTTCAGCGTATCAACGAAACGCTCTGCCTGACCATTCGACTGAGGGTGGTACGGAGCAGTCCTTATATGTGTGATTCCACCTTCGTCACACATCTTCTTGAATAAGTCCGACGTGAACTGAGTACCGTTGTCGCTCACTATTGTTTGCGGTAATCCATACCTTGCAAACAAGCTCTTCAGAGCCTTCACCGTCTTCGCAGCCGAGATATTGCTCATCTCGATCATTTCAGGCCATGCTGTAGGCATCTACCACGACCAAGTATAAGACTCCTTGCATGGGTCCAGCGAAGTCTATGTGTATCCTCTGCCACACTCGAGTCGCGGATGGCCATGCTTCTAATGGTACTTTCGTCGGATTCTTGGCTAACTCCTGACATTTCGTACATCTTCGTACCAAGACTTCGCAATCTTTGTCGATATTCGGCCAGTAGACGTGACTTCGAGCCAGTTTCTTCATCCTTACTATCCCTGGATGTCCAACATGCAGTTCTTTCAGAACATTTCCTCGAAGCTCCTTAGGTATCACAACCCTTTCGGCTGACATCAGACAGTGCTCCACGATTGACAATGTCTCTCTTCGATTTCGAAAATGTGCCAATTCTCCATTCACTTCTGGCCAATTTCCTTTCTGCACATAAGTGAGTACTCTTCTAAGTACTGGATCTTTCCTCGTCCAAGTTTGTACATCAGATACCGTTACTGGCAGTTTCCTTATGCAGCTCTTCAGCATGTAACCAACGTCGTTCTCAACAGCAGCTATCACGACATCTTCTTCGGGATTCTGATTCTTCTTCATCAACCTTGACAAACCATCTGCTTGTCCAAACTTCGTAGTTTTGACATATTCTATGTCGAAGTCATATCCAAGTAGAATTGTAGCCCATCTCATGAGTCGGTTCGCGGAGAAGACTGGAACTCCCTTTTTATCACCGAAGATGGCTAACAGTGGTTAATGGTCCGTCAGCAGTAGAAACTTTCGTCCGAATATGTACTTGTGGAATTTCTTGACAGCAAAGACAATTCCCAATGCTTCTTTTTCGATCTGCGAATAATTCTTCTCCGCTTTCGTAAGAGACCGCGATGCATGTGCAATTGGCTTTTCGGATCCATCGGCATATCTATGCGATATCACGCATCCGATCCCATAGTCGCTAGCATCCGCTGCCACGACAATCTTCTGCCTTGGATCATAGTGAGCAAGGTTCAGCTCACTTGACAAACTCTTCTTGAGCTTTTCGAATGCTTCTTGATGTGATCGAGTCCATTCCCACTTCGAATCCTTCTTCAGCATCGCATCCAATGGCCCACGGAGATCCTTGATCTTTGGCATGAATGCAGCATAGTAAGTTACCATGCCAAGGAAAGCTCTTAACTGACTGACATTCTTCGGCTCATCCATGTTCTTGATTGCTTCGATCTTCTCTAATTTCGGCCGTCTGCCATTTCTGTCCACTATAAAGCCAAGATATCGTATCTCTGGCTTGCCAAAGGAACATTTTTCTAAGCGGATCCTGAATCCATAATCGGCTATTCTTGCAAAAACAGCTAGCAGATTCTTCATGTGTTCTTCTTCGGTTCTTCACAGACCAATATGTCGTCCAGGTAGGTTGCTACACCTTGCAAACCGCTTACCATCTTATTCATTATCTGTTGGAAGATTCCTGGTGCCGTCTTTATGCCAAAAGGCAATCTATTGTACTGGTACAATCCTCTATGCGTAATGATCACGACCATTTTTTTCGCTTCTTCTGACAACTCGATCTGCAGGTAGGCGTCCGACAGATCTATCTGCGAAAATATTGTACCTCCATTGACCGATGCGAATATATCCTCCGGCAATGGCAACGGGTAATCATATGATTCCAGCGCTTTGTTGAGTCCAGTTGAGAAATCAGCACATACTCGCAACTTTCCATTCGCTTTCCTGACGCATACGATAGGAGCTGCCCATTCGCTGTGTGTCACTGGGCTTATGACCTTCAATTCCAATAGTCCATCCAGCTCCTTTTCGACGGCTTCGAGCGCAGCATGGGGGACAGGCCTACAAGCCTTGAATACTGGACGAACGTTTTCGTCAATTCTCAGGTGCGCTTTCTCCTTTGTGCAGAGTCCTAGACCTTCTTCGCATACTTCTGGGTAGGCTTCCTTTAGCTTCAAAGCGATGTCATTAATTTGCTCTGTCTTCACTTCCGCAACCATTCTGCTTAAGTGATAAGACATATCTTCGTTCTTCTGGATCCATTCGAGTCCTAGCAGTGAGTTGTGAGGCGTCACGTATGCGTAGCCTTCGCTTCTGGATCCTTTGATTTCGTACTCACACCATAGTTTTCCATGGACTTTCATGGAGCCTCCACTAGCATTTTTGACGACCACGTTTGTCTGCTCCAACCGAGGAGCGCCCATGCTTCTCCAGGTTGATTCGTTCAACAATGTGATGTCCGATCCAGTATCTAGCAGGAAACTAACTGGATGCCTATTTACTCTTGCTTCGATATACATGCGCTTCAAGTTGACATCCACCATCGCATTTGCAATCTTCGCTACGCTGTGCACATGACGTTTTGGTTTCGTCCAACTTCTGTTCTTACTGGTGTCGCTGCTTCTGTGGATTATTCGTTTCGAATCTTGCTGAACAAGTGCTTTTCTCTCCGCCACTTGTTCGCAATACTTCTCCTTGTGGCCTGTCTTCTTGCACTTCTTGCAATACCACAGCTTCGCTTTGCATTCCCTGGCAAAGTGAGCTTTACCACAGTTCCAGCATTCCAGCGTCTTCAGTTCTTCCTTGCTTGTTGCTTCGACAATCTTCGTGCAACCAGCCACAGTCTCGCTATCCTTCTTGAGACTAAGGAAGTTTTCGCACTCCAGGTACAATTCCTGTAGCGACATCTTTCGTCCAGCCTTGTACTCCTTGTCCAGTACGGCTATGAGTCGCTGCCTGATTTCGGCTTCCTTTTGGCTCTTCAGGCCAAAAATCCATAGTAAGCATTTTATGCCATCGCTGTCCAAGTCATGGATCTTCGCTTTTTCGCACAATTCGTTCACTCGACCGGTGTACAGGAGGTAATCTTCGGAATCTGCCTTCTCCAGTTTCAGACACTGGTACCGCATAGTGAATTCCGAAATCTTCACGTCGAACAGCTGCTTCAATGTTTCGACGGTTTCTTCGAAATTGATCGAGGTCACCTCCTTTGGTAACACATGCCTCTGGTATTTTTCGAAACTGTCCTTGTCCAATTTTTCGCAGAGCAGCCTCACCCTGGCACTCTCTGTGAGCTGCTTCGCATCTTCGACGAAGACTTCCTTGTAGCGGGCGTACCATTTGCTGAACCATTCGTCCGCTTCTGGGTCGAAGTTGAACTTTTCGATCCGATTGCTTAGTGCGGACATCATGTTCGGAATCTCCGTCGAACTGTTCTGCTTCGTACCTCCGATGTGTTCCAGGAACATCTCCATCATCTCCTTCCTTTCTTCTTTGATCATCTCCCTGAAGATCATCATCATCTCCTGGACGTCCACTT